GTTACTCAAGGTTGGAAACCATTGTTCTACGACCTCATGTCCAGTGGGAAATTTTATACGTCTGAGGACTTGTGAGAAGCTGCGGTAGGGCAAGATTAGGAAACTTCTAAGGGTCTGAAGACTGCTTTTTCCTTCCCTTACTCTTTAGACGCTTCACCCACATATGACACTCCCCCCCCCAAATAGTCTGAAAGTCTGACTACTTCATTTGTTAGTATATAGGATGAGATTAGAGGTGAGAGAAGATTTTTGTGTTTAGCTCAGTCTCTTAGCCAAAGCATGACATCAGCTCTTGCATCATCCACCACATTCAGATCACATCTACTGGCAGTGCAGTCTGGGTCTTTTCGGATAATATTAGAATAATCTTAGAACTTTAGATGTGGAAGGGACTATGGATCATTAGGTCAAGCCCCAGAAAAGAAGGCATAGTGGGGAACCAAACGCCCAACATCTGGTTCAACAACCAGATAACTTAAACTACTAAGCTACAAGATAATGTTAAAGATGCTCTCTCTTATCACTACACAATACCGGTACAGTGGGGTCTCTACTTAAGAACGTCCCTACTTAAGAACAATCCAACTTAAGAACAGCTCCATTTGCTAAATTTTGCTTCTACTTGAGAACAGAAATCCAAGATAAGAACAGGAAAAAAACCTTTCCTGCTCTTTTTTTTAACCTTAGGTCATCTTAGGTTAAAAAAATTCTCCCCCTAGTGGTAGAGTACGTAATAACCAGCTTTGCATTAGTTCCTATGGGAACTAATGCTTCAATGTACGAACACACCTCTACATAACAAAAAAAACAGCCAGAACGGATTAATTGGTTTTCAGTCCATTCCTATGGGAAATTTTGCTTCAACTTAAGAACGTTTCAACTTAAGAACTCCATTCCAAAACGGATTAAGTTCTGAAGTAGAGGTTCCACTGTAGTTTCTATGGACGGAAAAGAGCAGATACGGATTAAATGGTTTTCAATGCATTCCTATGGGAAATGCAGATTCAACATAAGAACTTTTAAACTTGAGAACCACCTTCCAATACGGATTAAGTTCTTAAGTAGAGACCCCACTGTAGTTTTTATCGGTAGGTTATAAGCTATCATCATGTCTGCTTCAATATACATTAGGGATGGAGAAAATACAGCTTTCCAGATGCTCTACAACACATCTTGCTATACATCACCACTGTCTATACAGGCTAGAGCTGATGGGAGCTGTAGAAGAAACACGCAATCCTCAGATACGCAGAAGTAGCAAGTGGAATCAGATGGGTGTGTACTTTTCCAAGCCAGTTGCTTCCACACCCACTCAGCATTCTCCTCTAGTCAGTGAGTGTTCAATGCCCAGTGGATAAGCTCGGTCCTCATTAGGCTGTTGGGGAAAGTGGCTCCAAAAGGTGTTCCTTCACTTACAGTACTTGTATTTCTGCAAAATTTCTAGTCTCCCACTCCCAGGTCACTGACAGTTTCCTCTAAGCCTTGGGGCCTAAATAGCGCTGTTTTGGCTATGTAAGGGCCGACACTCTAGGTGATTGTAGTATATCATAGCAAGAATAAGGCAAGAATAAGGAAACTTTAGTAGTATGTGGACACACATTATTTTCACACAATGCTTTCTCGTTCCATATGACAGTATTGTACAAGAACTAAATACATTTTTGAAAACAAGTAAGCATGCCCTTCAAACTCAGTCAAGCTGATTTAGCATCTATAACATTATTTCTTCAGACTTGGAGAATATACAGCGGTCCTAACTATTGTGTGAAAATAAAATGAATGCTGAAATCCTATTGCTTAGTCACACTAGAGTAGGCCCATAGAATCATGGGGAACTTGGCAAATGAATTTGTAAGTTCCATTGATTCAAATAGGCCTACTTAGTTGCAATTAACTTTAGCATATTACGTTGCAACTAGAGTTGGCCCATTTCAATCAATGGAAGTTAGAGGAGAGCTGTAAATCCCCAGTGAGCCCACTCTAGTGTAACATACAATGCTAATCAACAGGATTTTAGCCAATGAGTAAAATAATGTTGTAAACATTAGTAAGCAATGAAATTTTCCTCTTCTTTAATTAAGACAGTCATTTTCCAACTGTGTCTTGGGTAATATTCAATTGCCTGGAAGATTCTAAGAGATCCCTCAGTACCAGAAATGGGAAGCACGTTTCCTTAAAAAGGAAGCTTGACTAATGTCCATAATGACCTGTTGGCACTACAATGTGCAGTTACAGATGTGTGTGAAGCATTTTCTAGATTTTATTCCCCCCTCCTTTTTTTTAATGCAGATCACCACAACCCAAAAGGCCTGGTCTAGCCACTGCACCATATGGAATGGAGCGTTTTAAAAAAAGATGCACAAAAGATGGGTCAGGATTTGACATGGGGTGGTGGACATAACGAGGGTCCAGGTGGACATAATGAGGGTCCAGCCCCCTGGGGCCAGGCTGTCCACTCACTGTCCACTGCTGCCATGGGCTCCACGCTCCCTTCCTATCACGCTGGAGCTCCCAGTCAGCCAGCCAGCCACTCTTCGACCTGGCAGAGAGGCTTGTTGTCCCGCCTGTCACAAGTGGCTAATCGTCTGTAAGCTCTGGAAGGGAGCACGGAGCCCACAGCAGCAGACAGTGAGTGGACAGCCTGGCCCCAAGGGTCCGGACCCTTGTTATGTCCATCTGTGGTGGTGGGGTATTTGTATTTGTATACAAATACCCCCGTGTCTACTCAAGATTTAATGGCAGACTTCTGGGTTATCAATACTCTATAAAGAACAACAATTGAACAAAAGACAGAACAAAAACTATCCTTACCTACCAACTCTTATACAGTGGGCCGTCGACTTACGAACTTAATACGTTCTGGTGCAGAAAAATAAATAAAAAAATAAATAAAAAACAAAAATAAAAATAAGAAGGGCAAGTCCCACGTTGGGACTGCAAACACACACACACACACACACACACACACACACACACACACACAAAACCACAGAAACATAACCCCCCCAGTCCAAACCCACCCTCCAAAACCCACAGAGAAAAGTTTTTTTTAAAAAGGACTTACGAGTCCGAAGCTGCCCAGCGCTCCGCTGGCTCCGCGCGGCCGGGAGCGAGCAGCCAGGCGCCCGGCCTGCTTTAGCCGCCTGGTGCTCCGCTGGCTCCGCTGCCTTTGGAGCTTTCAGAGGGCTTCCTCCGATGTTGGGGAAAGCCCTTTGAAACCTCTGAAGGCACCGATCGCGGCGGCGAGGACCCCCAGGGAGGTCTCCCATGGTGGTGTGCAAGCCCTGAGAGACCTCCCTGGGGATCCCCGCCACCACGATGGGTGACTTCAGAGCTCTCTGAAGCCAAAAAGGCAGGGAAAAAGCGCGGGAAGTTCAAACTTCCCGCACTTTCTCCATGCCTTTTTTGCTTCAGAGGTTTCAGAAGGCTTCCTCCGATGTCAGAGGAAGCCTTTGAAAGCTCCAAAGGCAGGGAGGAAGGGCAGGAAATTCGAATTTCCCACCCTTTCTCCCTGCCTTTTGGGTTTGTAACCCGATCCGCGTTCGCAAGTAGGGTTTACTACTTGCGATGAGATTGGGTTCGTAACCCGAAATGTTCATAACTAGGGCCGTTCGTAAGTCAAGGGCCTGCTGTACTGATTTTTTTAAAATGTATGTGGAAAATAGGAATATACTGAAATCTTGCTGACAACCACAAATTCCTAAACTAAGTGTGTGCTCAGAGATCTCCAACAGAGCTTGGAAGAATTACTTCTTGGATGCACTGTACCTAGAATTGCCACTGAGCATGACCACACTGGTTAGAGTTTTCTGGAAGATGGAGTCTAAAAACACCATTTTTCAAAGATCAGCTTAATCCACAGTACTATGCTCACCTTTCTGAACCACTACTTTGCACCAGAAACCAATTGGTAGACCTCAGGGCTTTAGTGAAAAACAAAGTACAGTGGTGCCTCGCTTAGCGATTGCCTCGTTTAACGATGTATTCGCTTAGCGATGAGGTTTTTGGAGCGATTCTGTGCTCCGTTTAGCGATGTTCCCTATGGGGAAATTACGCATAGCGATGTTCAGGACCTTGCCTCGCTTAGTGATGACAGTTTAGGTCCCCCTGTTTCGCTTAGCGATATCCGTTTTCGCTATTTTAAGTGTGTCTTAAAATGTTCAAAAACTGTTTTAAATGCTTGGGATCATTAGTGCACCTTGTAAAACCTTTGCAAACTTAATTTGGCTTTGTTCTGAGTCTTCGTTAATTTCTGGTGAATTCCCCCCCCCATTGGAATGCACTGAACTGTAGGTTTGACATTCCTAAAGAGATTATGAAGTGGGGGGCATTTGTCCATACAGTGATGCCACCTTTTAAGAGGGGAATAAAGTAGGCATCACAAAACATAGGATTATTCTGCTAAGTCAGGCTTTATCCTTTTGAGTACATTTTATGCTAAAGCTTGCATTATACTGAGTCATCACGTTGGTGGATTTCAGCAAGCTCTCAAAACAGAACCAATCTGTTTAACAATAACTGGCAAAACAGTTTCATTCTGATAAGGACCCTGCATAGACAGAGGCACTAAACCCTCCAAATCCCAGGTTTATTTTAATGCGTCCTACGAAACAGGCCATGAAGTACTAAATTAAAGTCATTACAAAGGATCACTGTTTATATCTCATTAAAATATTTCTTTTTCCCACTGCACCCTTCATCCATCTGGTTCCTTTCAAAGGATTCAGCCTACATACAACTCTAGCCATTTCTTACCATGGCTCATGTTGGCTCAGGATGATGGGAGTCACAGATCTAAACATCTGCAGCAGCTCAGGCTGGGGAAAAGCTATATTACGCTTAGGAGAGATTATCTGACATACCTTATATAATGCCTAAAAAGTTGCAGTTCTAAACACTTTATAATGTTCAATTGTAGACATCAATGCTGGCCAAAAGCTTCATTAAAAATTAATAACTGAATTTCTCATTGCAAAATAATTAAAACAGGTGAAAATTACCTAGGCATATACAGGACACGTTCTGCCACAACAAATCCCACCCTGAAGAAGAGGTTGCTAGCTGGTATGAAGGGGAAAACCAGGAACAACAGGCCAACTAAAACTTCTCTGTGTTCCAGTTTCTGCAACAAAATAATAATTAGACACACATGAGTGAGAGGAATGCCAAATTCAGGCAAAATCATATCCCTATAGATTTAGTTCTCAAGCAACAATATCCCACACATTCTATGGACCTAACTATTCAGGTCTTTGTTATTAAAGCACACAAGAAATTTGCCTCCTCATTCTCTGTCTCACTATCAGATATGATCATTCACAAAATCAAACCATTATTGCATTTTGAACCTACATCAGCCTGCACTCCACAATTTGAGAGCAAATATCAAAACAAACACATCAAACCACAGTGTGAAACTAGCTTGTGGACTATAATGGCTGAAATACTGTTGTTTAGCATAGTAAGTAAAAAGTAGAGCAGCCCATTGAATCAATGGAGATTTGGTAAGTTAAATCACAAATCAGTGGGAAATCAATAAGGGCCAATGCTCTGCCATGAACAACTTGCATGTAAAATCCAAATGGCACAGAATTCAATTGTTAGATTTTGTAGGGGAAACTGACAACATGATTTGGACTTAACTCATGTGAGATTTAGCACATGAATGTTTTTTAAATTTCATACTCTGAAGTCATCATCTCGGTCACAGACGTTGTCAGGACAGGTTTGATCTTTCCCCCCAAGCTGGCAAATAGAGAGAAGGTTTGGGAGAGTACTGTCCAACCCAAACCAATGTTGTCTTCTACCTTTAGTATCTTAAATTATGATTAAGAGTAGGAAGTAAGATTACTGTAAAATTCTATATCCATGTATAAAATCTGAAATGCCAGGAGCAGACATCCAGTTCGCCTACTGGGCTGGAATATTCTCCACTAAATGCTCAACAAGCACAGCTAATGACCACCTTAACATTAATCCAAAAGATGAAATGTTCCAGCAGCTGCAAGCTTTCTTGGGATTTGTAAAGCCAGTTGATATTGGTCATTTGTTCAGCAATTTCTTATGAACAGCTCTCTCACTCACTCTTTTTTTTAATATTCAGGTTCCCCTTCGAGAACTCCATTCCGCCCACAGCAGCAAACATTCTTATTTGACGCCCAATAAAACTAAGTAGATGTGACAACAAATTGCTAAGAGGCTAGAAACCAGAAACTGCACGGTGTTATTTTTATGGCCAATTTCCAGTTTACAGTGTGCAGGAGCATTTTATAGCACTCAGACTGTAGAAAATACTATCTTACTGATCTACAGTGACATGAAAAGACACACACACATACACCCCTTAACTGCACATATATATATATTCAGACATATACAAAAGATGCAAAGCTTACCTGTACCGTATGTACTCTAACCAAATATCAAATCCTATTCTATGGGTATATGAGTAATCCTATACTATGGACTGAATTTTAGTTTGGGAAAGCTACATTCCTGCAGTGGGTGGAACAAACAACACAAGGCAGGATCAAAACAGAGTAGGTATGACTAGATATAATTCTTACCAATTTAGGCAATCTCCAACCAAATGTCTGTGCATGTCTACTATAATAAAAAGCTGAACTCATAGGCAATAGCTTCCCAAGTTTGAAACTATTCATTCATCCATTAATTGTATTTATTATATCCTCTTTGGTGAGCTCAAGACAGCATACATGGCTTTCTTCCTCCCCAGTTCATCCCCACAAAAGCCTCCTTGCATTGGACAGGGTGAGAGCCTGCAACTAGCCTGCGGCTCCCTAGTGTATCTCATGGCCAAGTGGGGACTTGAACCCAAGTTTCCAAAATTGTAGCCAAATTCTCTAACCCTTATGCCACCCAGTTCAGTGGAACAGCTTCTGAGCCCTTAAATACATTCCTATTTCTTATTTCTAAGATGAATGCTGGGCAGATGGGGAAACTATATGGATCAAACTCAGTTCATGGATCTGAGATTTTCTTTTCTTCTCAAAGAACTGAACAAGCTATCATTTACTGCTCAGACATAAGCCTGTTTCAAAATGACTAAATGGTCATGGTATTTCTTGATAAATGAATCCTAGGAGTTGTCACTCATCAAAAGCATTGAGCATTTCCTATAAGGTCCAATGTATGCATGATGGTGTGCAAATAAAAAGCACTTATCCACGCTGCATGACACACTCCCAGCTACTATGCATGTAATTTCAGGATGCCATTGACTTCCTAGACGAAAGACCACTGTGTATTAACACTGCAATCCAATGCAAACATTGCACAAATAAGTGATTCTTACTGTCCGTGCATCTGGTCTGTATGTCTGCTTAATTTATGTCCAAGAAACTAGGATACGGCATAATATTTTACAGTAAAATTAAAAACATAAACAATTAAAAAGCAATTATAAATTAAATCAGTTTTCATAACAATTAAAAACCATTTAAAATCTCACTATTAAAATCATTACAAATGAGCAGTAGTAAAGCACAATACTACCCTAGGAAACCCTTTCCTCTGCTTGCACAAGGTATCTATATATTAACAGCTAATCTGCAGGAAGGGGTCTGGGTATTTGGGAATCTCTAAAGCAGTGGTCCCCAACCTTGGGCCTCCAGATGTTCTTGAACTACAACTCCCAGAAACCTTCTCCATCACCTCTGCTAGCCAAGATTTCTGGGAGTTGAAGTCTAAGAATATCTGGAGGCCCAAGGTTGGGGACTACTGCTCTAAAGGACCAGGCTGGGACCAAGGAATACTGGATTTGTCCCAGGATCTGAAATCCAACATCTCTGTTGTGTAACAACACTCCTGGCATCCCCAGTTTAAAAGATTCTGAGGGCAAGGTTTGTGCTTGACAGATTTGTTCATAATCTATAGTTAACCTTGGTTAGCAATACTGGGGAAGAGTCTTCAGTTTTACCTAGAAGAAAACCACTCCTTGTATCTAACTCAGTGTTCAAACACAAGGGCAGGAATGAAATACTAACAATTAGGAAATCTGCCTATTGTAATCTTTCAACATCCTCTTTGGGGGTATCTACTCAACTGTGCATTTATTAACCAGAACCTAATCTTCACAGCTGGCTGCATGTTTTTTCTTCCTCTTTTCACTCCTAAGAACTCTGTGAAGAATTGATTTGATGTTATCAGCCTTAATCCTTACAAATTCTAATTGTATATTTGCTAAACAAAAATGTAGACAATGACAGAAGAGAAGTATTCAAACACAAAAATGGAAAGACAAATTGGATCTAGTAAAACACACACACATACACAGACACGACCACACCCACTTCCCCACCACAACCTTTAAGCCTTTTCATTTTAAGAAACGCTACCACTTTAGTATGCACAGAAAAATGACATAGTAAGATGTTCTCCTAAATTGTACATAGGAAACATGAGGGGTAGTTCTTGACAAAGGTACAGAATATATTGTTTTATAAAAGATACAAGAGTGAGCAATAGTCACTGTTATAAATGTCTTCTGGGAGAGAAGAGCTGTTCTACTTCACAAGAATTCTCAATGTATTTAAGACAGGCACAGTGTTATAGTGCTGTGAGCCCTGAAAAAAAAATCAGTGTAACCACTGAGCATGCCCACCCATCAAGAAAATTTTTTGCAGACATTCCGAGGGCCAGAGTGGGACTTGGGAAGTCTTGCCCAAGACTAGACCCTTCTATGAATGCTTATATTTGAAAGACTATGGGGAGACAGGGGAATTTGGAGTGGTTTGGTTCACACGTAGAAGATTCTTATTTTCAGTGCGATCTATTTTATCTTTCACTTGAGCGATTCTTCCGCTTACACTGGAGACTTTATTCTCCCATGAGAAGGGTCCACACAGGTCTTTGGACTGCCGGTTTACTAGGCTTATCCAGTTTACTTTCAAGTGAGTTTATCTGTGATTTACTCAGAGTAAGGAGGCAGCAACAACAGCAGAGGAGATGAAGGTTGAGGACATGGAAGGGAGGTAAACCCCCTTACTCTGTCTTACTCTTGCATCAACCTAGGATGGCATTAGAATTCTGTTGCAACAGTTAGGGAAATATTTTTAAAAGATGATGATGATGATAGAGGAGAGGGTTTCTCCATCGCACATTCCCCCATTCATTTACAGCCTCTCACATGCAAGCAGTTTACATTTGGTGCTGACAGACACAAGCCAACTATGAGCACCAATACCATGATGAAGCTGCAGCCTTCACCAACCTGTCTCCCTTAGCGTGCCGGACTACAAATCTCATCAAACTAACCCACTGTGAGGCTGATTAAGAGTAACAGGTGTTGCAGTTGCACACAAGCTGAAGGCCTTTTCTTTCCAGGTTCTTAAACAGCCTTGAATTATTACTTGGAAACAGAATCACATCATTCCATCATTGCCAATGTCACTGAGTAGTACGTTACTCATTACACAAGCAATCATTGAAATGGTCTGCCAGAATGTCTCCCAAACTAACACAGTTATAATAATGAAAAAATGTTACGAAAAAAAAACACCTGTAATGTTTGTTTCATTTCTGTAAAAATATTTAAAAGTAATTACATTGCTATTTGTTAAAGGATAAAGTAGTAATTATATTAATTTTAATGAATTACTACCAAGTTCTCCCCAGCAGCACATAATTTCATTCATCCTCTTGTCTTGTACATGGCCAATAATTGTTTTAACACTTTTACAAACCAAAAGTACTCATTTCGTGTTTTGATACTTCAGGAGTAGCAACACAAGAGTAGAAGATCATTTAAGATCAACCTAGAGCCCCAGCAATTTCACAATTATGTTGAAGGTAACACTTTGTGTTGACTGTTTTTTCCCTTTTCCCTGAATATGATTGGTCTGGATAATAAATAGGCAAAGCCACATCAATATAGTCTCCTCCTTTAAATGTCTTGAAAGAATGTATTTCCGGCTTTCACCAGCCGTGAAAGCCTTTGCAAATACAAAAACACACAACTTATGCTAGAAGTGAGGGAAGGATTTATTCCTTTTAGCCATTCGAAGTTTTCTGATTTACTGCTCCCCTTTCCTTAAGCAAATGCTAATCTAACAGACATAGAAAATCTCACTGGGGAAGCACCAAGAACATCAATAGTGACCT